TTCCCTTCACCAAGTCTGAAAAAAATCCATTCATTCCCTGGAATCCCTGCTGTGCAGGCTGTCTTCACTTGCCACTAAATGCTGGAGTGTCTTATCAAAGCTTCACTAAAAGCTTGTGATTGTAAAAGCCCTGTCAATGATTAGCCTGAACTGTGAGACCTGGGGTGGGTCAGAGAACAGCGTAATTTTTAGGGAGGTGGCCTTTGTGTGGCCACTGAGACACCTCGGCTGTGTTCTTGCTGCAGGAAAATAGGTTACCCGAGTGAAACAAAAAGCCTGGTCACTCGCATGGGAACATTCAGTTGACAGGGTGCTAAGAAGCTGTCCGGTTCTCTGTTCCTCCTGAAACTGTATTTCAAGGAAATGAGGAAGAAACAGAATTCTAATTACAAAGTCCTCAATTAGAGTGTGATTTAAAATTTTTAATGACTCACATGTTAAATTGTAAGAGTGCCGGAAGGGCTTGGGGGGGTCTTTTCCCAGAGAGAAATGCCTGCAAGAAATGTAACATACAGCATTAGTATACAGTTTATTTCTAGAATCAGGACAGAATCGTGCCTACAAAGAGACTGTAACATACATATGCATATCCCAGTAGTTACATCGAAACACAAGGTGAGGCTAAATTTATTCCAAATACACACAACTGCTGTTATAGCTTATAGAAGTCCTATGTACAGCCCTATGTACAGCATCAGTACGAAATTAACACGGGTTTGTTCTAGTCCTTAAGCAATTTCCCTTAATTTCTTTAAATAAAAATAATTAGCAAAGATAATGAGGCTTGAAAGATGTTATTTTGTTATTAATTTAATAACCTTGCAGCTGGGCCATCAGTACAGGGAATATCTTGCAGAGCAGCTAGATAATATTTTATAGTTTCATCTTCTAACATATTTCAAATTACAGCTAAACTATGCATGTGAAGATTCGGTAAATTTAATAAATACCGTAAGGCTGATACCTGCCGGTCTTGATTTCTTCAGATACAGTCACATAAAATGTATTCACGCTGCAATCAGAGTTGCTGGATAGCAATGGATCTGTACCTGCAAGACAGTCGTGCGCTGAAATCTGAGCATGGAACAACTTACCATGTAGGTACAGCACTGTGCTCAGATGAATTAGCCCTGCTGACACGCAGGAGATGAAAGTCTAGATGGACAGCTGGGCTACGGCTGTTTTATTGTTCTTGCTGCCTGTGAGAGCATGTTTGCAAGCAGCACGGGTGTCTTCTCTAGCATAGCATAATGCCATTCTGACATACGTTCAGTTTAATTAAAACAGTGGAAGATGGAAGACATTTTATATATTTGTTTATGAGATAAACAACAAAAAACTGCATCTACCTCAGTGCACCCTTGTAAGCACATCTCAGCAGCGCCTTCACAATAGACAGTTTCACCTTAGGTGATGGAGAAAGTTCCCACTAACATCTTCACTGCAGATCTCCTGTGGCAGGGCGGCCGCTCACCTAAGGTCAATCTGTCCAACAGAGCAGACCCAGCACTCCCTCAGCACCTGTTCCCTGCTTCTCAGCAAAGATCCTACAAAGGCAGTTTGAGAAAGGGAGGTGTAAATAGGACCTGTACCAAGTGGATCTACAGTATACACTGCCATGTTCCTTTTTTACTATATGGAATAGCATTTGAAATATTAATTGGATTAGTTATTGCATGAACAGAATCCACCTGTTTTAGCATTTAAAAGCTTCAACTGTGTGTACTGTACTGTGAAGCAAAACTGAAATACAAGTCATTAAAAATGCTGTAACGCTAAAGTAGTTAGATACCATGACCAACATATGCTGGAGCTCAAAGCACACATGAAAGCTCAAAGCACTGGGGCGACTGTATTGACAAAGTATAAACGACAGGCTTCTGCCCAGCAACTACAGCAGGGCTAGCACTGCTTGCACCTTATTTCAAACATGGTGTGGTGTATTTGCATGAGATGCAAAGGGCACAGCAGAGGCTTGTGCTCCCAGATGCTTAATTGAGATTAAGCTAGTAACTGTATTTCTTTCATTATTATCTATGTGACTTGGAGCATGCCCTAATCGAGGTCTGAAAATGACTGAATTTATTTTCTTTCTGCTTTGTCATTTGAACTGGTTAGTCTGTAACGTTACTTGATGAAAAGAAAGCAAACTGGGAGAATCATATAGTGACTTGAGTTTGAGAGAGAGATGTGATTAGCTGAGCAAAGAGTTGGGGAAAGGAAATACTGTGACTGCTAAATCAGAAAACAATTTGCACAGCCAAGTGAGATGTGATCAGGGACTGCTGAGATGAGAGGGTGCAGCTGGAGGGGAAGAGAAGAGGCAGTATTTAATTATTGCACCAGCTCAGGTGGCAAAGTCAGAGCAGGCTCCAGCCCTAATGCTGTTGTGGATGTCCACAGTGGGGTTTCCTGCCCCCAACCGTGCATTTAATAACCTTGGTTTGGGAATGAATTGAGGCTGGGAGAGGCTGTGGTCTCCAGGGCATCTGCCATTGACGCTGCATTAGTTGGGAAGCTCAGTTCTCATCTGTCAAATTTCTGTTCTTGCTTCTGTCTTGATTAAGCAATTCCAGTTATGAAACCAACTTTTCACTTGAACACTGATCACATATTCTCAGTTCATGGGTTCAGCTTGGAAACATGGGGCTTGATCTGTAGAAATCTGGAACACGTGAATTTGAATGCATGCAGTGTTAGCATATGTGAGTGAGGACACTCTGCCTAGATACTCAAATTAAGATGGAGAAAAGACTTTGAAAGTTCACTTAGAAAAAAATGTGATGTTTACATTAGCATCAGCTGCTCAGGCCTACTGAGGGCTCCAAAAAAGCACAACCTATGTAACTGTCTTTCACAGTGTACTTATCTTCACCTTATACAGCAAAAACTGTTTGAGATGGGATAAAAGTCTTTTCTAAAGACACATAATTGCAATGGCTGCTATAGAAAGCCTAATGTCAATAGAAACTAGATCATAGATTTACAAAGAACTTTTGGAATTTTTGGGCTGCAACAAAACACAAATTCCTGTTTTGAAAAAGAGATAAATTTGTGTTTTGTTTTGTTTTTAATATGGACTCTAATAACAAGAATATTCTCTACAGGATTCACATGAAATATAGTCAACCATCTAGAAAATGAATATTTTAATGTTTATTAGTGCTATGAAAAAAAGAAGGAAACTTTGTTGCTGTGTTTTCCTAATCACAGCACTATGATACTTGTATTCGTTAAGGCACTTCCTAATTTCTGAGGTTCTCTGGTTACACATAAAGCTCAGAATATTTGTATTCCATGATACATAATAAAGATTTCTTAAGTGACTGACATGTGTTGGGCCCTAAAACAGCTGAGAAACATTGTTTTATGGACTTCAGAAGTGTATCAGGGCTATGGTGCAAGTTTATCTGCTTTGTACTTTCATTATTTCCTAAAATTTAAAACAAATTTTGTACAGCAGTGAATAAAACATGAAGATAGTTTCAATGAAATTTTGTTTCAATTCCAAAATGAACCAACATATTAGAATACAAAAATGTTAAAAGAAACTAGAAAATATTAACAAAAGGAAAGTGGACAAATCTTATGTTTCACTTAGCAATATGAGAAGGTGTATTTTCTTTATAAACAACCTCTCATTAAACATGAAAAGGTCTTCACTGATCATTGCGACAACAGTAAGATTGGTTTTGTTCCACAGGGAAGAAGCCAAGAGCTTGAGTTCACATCTCAACACTTTTTCATGTATTTTGGAAAATATCAGTAGAAAAAGTCAAACATTCTTTCAAAAAAGGTAGAAAACAACTCAAGTTTTCTATTTTTTATCTTAGTTGTATGGAGGGTGATGACACTGAATGAACTTTTGTTACTAAAAAAGAAAAAAAAACAACACAGTACTTTCAGTAAGATAATATGCCCTTAAAACATAACCCATGATCACTTATAGGATCGGTAAGGATTCTGCCTTGGTTTTATGTTGCAAAGCACACATAATATCAGAGGGTATTCAGGTTTGTTCTTGCAGCAGGGCACATTTTTCGGACTTGCAGTGGTATCACAGCAGTACAGAAAGAGAGAATCGTCCCCCTGCTGTGACCAGAAATGAGTAACAGTACCTTACAAGTACCACGATCTTCTTTTTGTGAAGGGTTAATAAACTCCTGCCTTCCAAGAAACATGAATGTGTCACAAGCCTGCAAGCAGATACTGCTCTGCTGGATGTTATTCTAAGTAGCGTTATCAAATACAAACAGAGATAACCACCTGCAATAATTCTGTTAGCATTATTTAAACAGTTTGTGCAGCTCTTACGAATGTCAGCCTTTTCAACTCCCCTTTAATTCTCCCACCAGGAACAGGCATGGCATTAAAAATGACATAACGAGAAAGAAATACATAAATACAAACATATTGCTAGAGATGCTTTTCTGAAGAGATGCTGGTTTTGTTTGCATTGCCATTACAGCTGAGCTCCCATAGTAAAAGCAGAAAGTAGTGAGGAGCACAGGCTGTGCTGCAGGCTGCACTCGGCTCTTCCACGTGTGAAGCAGCAATCTGTTCCTGCACAGTGTGCTAATGTTAAAAATATCAAACACAGACTCCAGGTGGCCGTGGTCCCCAGAGCTGCACTTGGCTCGTTGCTCTTTCATGAGAGGCTTTCTAAAGCAGTGGCAGCACTCTAGATGTTGGAAGTCCTGCCTGTCCACCCATTTTCTCCACCGCTGGCAGCAGCGAGATTGAGCGGCTCCAGCGAATTGAAACACCGAACACCGAGAGGAGGTCTGACGTTTAATTCGTATCTCTGAGTGCATTCACCCCCACCGTTCAACAAGCGGAGACACAAGCGACAGAAAACTGAAAATCCGCCCCGACGCCCGAACGGATGGCGGACAGCCGAGCAACCGGCCGAAAGCCAGCAGCTCCCAGCGGGCCGGGCGCTGAGGGCGGCAGGACCAACCGCGAGGAGCCGCCCCACGCGGCCAGCCCGGCCCCGCCCCGCCCATCACGCTGTGACGACAGCGGCGCGCGCCCGGTGGCGGGAGTTGGCGCGAAGGTTGCGGGGAGCGGGGTGGGCGGAAGCCATGGAGTCGGAGGCGTCCCGCTAGCGAGGTCACCAACGCCGCCGCCGCCAGCAGTATGGTGAGCGCGCAGAGCGGCGTAGCGCCGCCCCGCGCCGCGAGGACCGGGGCTCTGAGCAAAGGCCGCGGGCCAGGCGCCGCGCGGGCGGCTCTGGCCGCGAGGGGGGGGCGGCATCGCGCAGATCGCGCCGTTGGGGCCGCGTGGCGGTTGCGCGCCTTCCCGGCGCGTGCAGCCCCCGTGCCACTGGAGCCGTTGGCGCGCGGCGCGGCTCTCTGCCGAGTAGATCCCGCGCTCAGGTGCGGAGGCCGTCGGTGCTGCGGTTGCGGTGTCGAGGCCGCCGCCTGCGGGCCCGGGTCCAGCGTGTGGAAGAGCGCACGGAACCGGCCGCCCCTCGGCTTACTGTTCTGAGCGGGAGGTGTCCGCGCCTCCTGCCGCCCCTGGACGCGGCGGGGTACCGGCGTGGGCCGTGCGCCCGCCCGCTGAGAGCATTCCATGCTTCCATCCCCCCCAGCGCTGCCTGCCCGGCCGCTCGCCGCCTCTTGCGGTAGGCCGGATACGTGAGAGCGTTTCTATTTCAGCGCAGGGCGCTGTATCGCGTTTGCAGAAAAACAAGTACTTGAAAGTCTGAAAGTAAATGTGATTACCGGTAATGGAGGATGCAGCCCTAACGCGATTGTAACTGTAAACACACTTGTGTCCCTGTGTGTCCTTTCCAAAGTGCTTCCCGCTTACACAGCCATTATAAGATGGGCTCCTGTATCGTCTGTTGCTCGCATACATTGGTTTCTGCTCAGGTGGGGTCTCTGCAAGTTCTGTACTGTCTTAACTAAAAAATGTTATACAAAGCCAGGTTGGCTCAACTTTGGTTTTAGACTTTTCACATAGATCTTAATATCTTCTACCCAATGCTAAGCACTAATGGGCAGCGCTGTCTCTGTCTGCCAGCACTGAGAGCCCTGACACGAATGACCTGTGGTATTTAAGTCACCAGCTGCCCCACACGGGCTGCTGAAGCTCTGCAGCAGAACAAGGCATTTGCTGCCTCCCTTGCCACTGCCTGTCAGAAAGCTGAACTTCCTAGAAGACCCTCCCTTCCCTTTGGTATTCTGCTTCTGAGTGTCCCGCATCTCTCAGTGTTGGTAATTCCTAGAAGAGAGGAAGGCTGCCAGCATGGAGAAAGGATGAGTTGCCTCAGTCCGTGTGCTTTTCTTTCCAGTGCTGAAGAGAAGTGGCTGTACAGCACTGCAGTTGCGAAGGTAGAGGCAAAAAAAATAGCAGTGTCATTATCGCTGTACCCTGCTCTGTGATATTCAGGAGCAGCTGGGGCACGCTGGGATGTAATACTGGGCTCTTACAAACAGACTTTTATCGTGTAGTGCCCAACAGAAGTGTCCCCTGTCAGATTGGTTCTTATGAGCTGATGTGTGCAGTTACACAATTAGTTGATTGGTGGGGGAAGGGATTCAATTTTTACCTAAATTAACTGCCTGACCCAGTTCCTGTGTGAAGAGCTGTACTGATACAGCTGAGGAGATGTGTGGTGGGGAGCAGGGCTACCTGAGCTGCCTCCAGCTGAGAGAAACAGTCCTGTGCCAATGCTGTGGCATAAGCTGCTGCGTACATAGAACTGGGATTCTGCTCTAGAAATGCTGTGTGGTACCCATGCTTCAATTACCACCATTAACTTCAGTATAGTTATCCAGCCAGGTTTAACTGAAGTGATATTATGCGATTGATTTCAGGAAATGCAATTTTTCTGGAGATGCCAGATGTCAGAGCTGATGTTTTTGCAAAACGTGCACTAAAATAGACTGTGAATAAGTATGAGCTATCCTGCACAAGCAAGGCACTTATGGACACCTTTTGGAGTACTTCAAGCTGCGCTGCTTCCCATTGCAGTCATTGAGCTGAGTTGATGAAATTCAGTTTTCTGTTTCAGAATGTAGTTCAGAGATGCAAACATATTTGTATGATGTTATTTTGAAAAGTATTCTGCTTTATTGGACACTGGTCTTTTAAAACCATTACTTAAAGAGGTTGATGCTGTGGGGATTGCTCTGTCATTTAAACACTGGAGCAGCTGTTATTGCAGGAAAAAATGTCACAGAAAACCAATATGGAATGCTTATTTCTGAACTTTTCTTTTTAACTGAATATTTACTGAAGTCTTGAAAGTTATCCTGGCAAGCTCTTTGGGTTGCCACCCTTTAGTACTAATAACAAGTGGGTTTCGCTTTCTATTTCTCCTTAGTAAAATGGGTGTATACAAATCTTCCAAGAGAAAACATGCAGCCTACTGTGATTTGTTGCTGTCTTGTAAGACTGAGGATTTGAAACAATAGTCAAATGGCACGAGCTAGACTGCAGAGCCAGTACTGAGGTTGTGCAGTTAGGAAGAAAGCTGAGCAGGAGGCAGCCCACATGAACACAGCTGTTCAGGCTCTCCTGTCTTAGGCATTACCTACTTCCCTAATCTAGTGGGAGTGATCAGAAGTATTGGGCCTTGATTGGGACTGTGGCTAGGTCTCTGCAGAATTTGGTGCTCACATGTGGCTCAGAATCCTTTATTTGGTAGCTGTGATTTCAGATGCTTCTAAACTGTCACACTAAGCAGTAATTTCATTGACCCTCCCTCTTATTTGTGTGAAACTGCTCCAAGTTATGCATAGGATTGCTGCTGCTGAAGCACCCCGGGGAGCTGCACTAAAATAGCCCCAGCTCTTTAGTTCTTTAAAGGATTGCCACTCGTGCTGGTCAGTGTATCTCCACAGGCACACAGGACACAGGTCCCAGAGGAGATGTTACATTGCTGGCAGCCTTCTCTCATTTGAGTGAGCATATGCAGTTCTGCCAAATGGTGAACTTGGGAATGAATGGCATTATATACCAACAATATAGTTGGTCACAGGATGTTGAATAGGTAAAACCAGAATGGTGGCTGGCAGTGCTATCTGGGAACCAAGCTTACGTGGTGCATCTCCTGGAGTCATTTTGATAGATACATATACTGCTTCATTTCTGCAATAGGTGCAATGAATTGTCTGACGTCCCTTGATAAATAGCATAAAATCTTTCTGTTATGAATCTCAGATAAAAACTTCTCTGAAAGATGACTTTATTGTTGCACTGTGATGTACTGGTATCCCACGCAGTTTTGAATTCACCATCTGTTATAGCCCAGCCATGGCTAACAAGGTTACTTTTCCTTCTGAAGAGTAGGATGACTGGAGGAAATTGGAGGATATATAACTGAAGGTTGAAGAAAATGGTATGTAGTTGCTGAATTTCCTTTGTAGCTTAGGGCTCTGTAGTTTAGTCACTCATAAGAAGATTGTCAATATGGGAAATGAAAATTTATTACTTAAATAAAATCCTTTATTCAGAAATGGCCTGAAAAGGTGGCTTCTGTGTGGTTACATTTACAGTGTTTAATACGCTCATACAGTACTAGAAATACAGAAGGAAATATGCTGCTGTTTCTGAGGACTGATAATTTGCAGCCAAGATAACTGTGTTGTGTTAGCACAGGGAAGCAGTTTTAGAATCTGTAGTTGCTATATTACAGCAGCACTTTCAAGGAAAAAGTAGTGTGGTGGTGATTGATTGCTTGGTAGTTAGAAGATGCTGCTTTGAGCAAAACCAAAAAGTCATGAGATCTGATGAGACAGAAAATAAGAATTTATGTGGTATGATTTAGGCTTTAGCGGTCGAGAAACGGTGATGAAAGTAGTGGAAGAAGCTGGGGCAGGCAGATGAGTTTCATGCATCTCCTTTACTAAGCCTTCATTTCAGAATCCAGGATATGATGGTATTGCCATACAATTTCCATCAGTCTGTAACAAAACAGTCTAATATTAATGCAGATCAGCATGCTCAAGGAGTTTTTAGTTAAGTTACTAGAATGGAGTTACTAGTGATTTAAAAATAATTATTCACCAGATATTTTAAAGTTATAACTAACATCTATCACTATGAGAATCTCACCTTAATCTAAAGTCAGTTTGATTTGCAGTGTTGTAGTGTTTAAATTATGTTACTATGTAAAAGATCTAGTGAGGACTGTAAGCAGTTTTTTTGTTGTGTTGCCATGTGAGAAGTCAGTAATGCTGATGGAGTTATTGGGGTCACAAATCTACTACATAGCTTCTTAGGGTTTTTTTAGGTAGGTGCTTTGCTCAAACGTTCTGATCTGGGGTCAGAATTTCAGAGTGTTAGACTGTGGCGTGAGGAGTGTGTGTAAAACAGCTGGGTGTTGAGAATTGATGCCTCAAGGAGCAGATTCCATAGATAGAAATGTGTACAGTCTTACTGAAGAGGAATTCTTCTCAGTCTACCAGTGTTCATTTGTTGGATCAGTCACATATGCAGGTAAAAAGTAAACAGACTGCGTTTCTACAGGAAATAACACTTCTGATTCTAGAAAATTGCTTTAAGATAAGCATACTAAATAAATCTGTATGTGGCCCATTTTATGCTTTCAAGTTCTTTATTCTGTTGGTTTTCAGCCCAATAAACTCCGCTAATCCAAATCATGAGGGAACTGGTGAGAAAAAAAGAACCTGATGCAGACGTAATCATTGATCATGTTTGTATGGAGATTTCATGTTATGTTTTCTTTAGCATTTACTACTTTACTACAAGAGGGTAACACTACCTAGATGTGTGATAGCTGCTGCTCTCTAATAGGGAATAGTTAGCAGCTGGGGAGGGTAGGGCCCTGAGCCACAGCCCTTACCTGCCATATATTTTGGCCATACCAGAGACTTTCAGAATGAAAGCTGAAATGGCTACTGCTCCTGGAAGTGATGGTACCAAGGAGGTACAGATTTTGTGCTTCTTTTTTAATGATGCTGTAATGCTAGTTTAATAAACAGCTGTCAGATAGGGTTTTTTTTTGGGGGGGGGGCTGGCGCTTATTTTAATTGTAGCTTCAGTTTCTAGTCTTGAGTAGAGCTTTTTATGGTTCTTCTATGGTAGGATAAGAAAACGGTTCCAAAATCCACCTTTTGGAGTCTTGTATTCTTAATATAATTAACTTTTCTCTTTGTTGAAATCTTAATTTGCTTTTTGCTAGCTAATTTTTTCAGTGAGATCAGAGTCCCTGCCTTAAATTTGTTAGAAGGTGGAGGGCATGGTACGTCCTGCCAGTAGGCTGCTTTGTAGCTCCTGGTACTTCTTGTCTTTTCACATTGCGCTCTACATCGTGCCAAGTTGGTCACGTTAACTGTCAAAGTACTTTGGGCTCAGTTTGTGATGATTAAGTGGGAAAAAGCAACCCCAGGCAAACGTCTGTTTGAAGTCACTGCATTTCATTGCTAATGAAAGATTCTGAGTGTGTAAGATGACTCTCGCAAGGGGAAAAATACCTTTTTTTGTGACTGAGAGACAAGAGAAAGGCTGTGCAGTGTCTGAGCGCTGCTTTTAACTATTTAGTCTTTGTTTTGTAATTTTGAGGAAAAACTTGTAGATCAACAAATAACAGGAGCTGCTGAGAGTAATATTCATTCTTTCAAGTGCTCTGCTCTTTTGCAGTGTGGAACTTCTAGGAGTTACTTGTATTTAAAACCTTATGAAAGTGTTTGTCCTTTAAATAGGATATCCGGAAATTCTTTGGAGTTGTGCCTCATGGAAAGCAGCAGGAGTGCCAGGCTGTGAAAAAGAGTGAGAAGATAAAAAATGGGGAAGGAGAATCGAGTGGGAAGAAGAGGGGAAAGGAAACAAAGGTGAGTCTTGCTTTCCTTATTTGTAAGGTGCTTCATTTTTTGATTATGTGATTGTTTGTGTCGTTGTTTTTTAAAGTCATAACTTTAAAAACTTGGAACAGCTTGAAAATCTGTTTGATTTCCTTTAATTGGCATTAAAGTGGAGTATTTACTATCAGTGTAATTGCCTGCTGTTTACTTGGAGCATGCTGAACTTTGCTAGTGCAGTTAGTTCCTCATCTCCTCTCCCTGGCCCCTCTTCCACTCCCACCCACAAGTTAGAAAAAGATTGTTCTTAAAAGTAATACTCATAAATAAATTATCTGTCAGAAATGGTTTTAAACTCATAAATTGAAGCTGATTAAAGGCTGGGAGGACCTGTTTGCTGGTTGAGCCAATAAATTTTTTCTTCTAGGTGAAGAGTTCACCCAGTGAAGATGTTCCCAAACAAAAGCAGGCGTACAAGAAAAAAAGAATAATCTATGATTCAGGTGATGTTCACAGTTGTCTCAGAATGCTCCTTTCTATCTTTTGCATAAGGGTTGATTATGTAAATGCTACATCTGACAGAAAGCTGTGCTTGGTTTGTTGTAAATGCAATTAAGAGCACTTCATAGGTAGCCCTGGTAGGGGAGGGAGGTATCTTTGAATGCACTGGTGATTTTTATTGCTTCACTGTAATAATTGTTTGATAGTTAAAAATGATGGATGAGAGAAGCCTGTGCCTTGCGTGTGCATTTCTAACAAAGCTTCTGTTTAAAAAGTAAGATTAAAAACTACTCCGAATAGCTAATTCTATTAAAATTCCAGAACTTCATGGTTATGAAGAGATATATAGATACATATATAGACTATGGGGAGTTTTTAGTTTTTCCTGCCCTGTTAGGATAAGTAGCACCCTACCCTGGATACAGGTGACTGGCTGTGTAGTGTAACTTTACAATTGCATAAATGTATTATGGTTTTAAATGTATCATCTGGAACTTATTTCTTCCATTATTTAAAACTCTGATCATAATTTTCTAAAAATATTGTGTGTAATAATAAGGAAAACACCTTTTATAGCACTAATAAATGAAAAACAAACAAATAAAGAGCAACAAAGAAATCACAAATAAACCATTAGCCTGTCAGGTTAGTGAAATTAAAATGGGGCTTTTGAACTTCTGCATTATTCCTATCTGTGATATCATTTAATCTCTGGCTGGTTTCTGAACATCTGTGAAAGTGTCAAACTGGCAGCAGGGGTTTCTACAATTCTTCCACTGAAGACTTTATCTTGAAGTTTTAGTGACTTAGTAGAAGATGGATTCTTCTGTAGAAGAGAAGGGGTGACTCACATCTGTCAGAATGATGCTATTTTATAATAGCATGCAGATGTGTTCAAATAAACTGTTTTACACACAGCTTGTTGTAGGGAATAGCAGTAGAAATATTTCTGTTTAGAGCTGGAGTACAAAGGTAATACGTAATTCAACTTCTACCTTTAAATATTTGCACAATTTCACCATAGTGCTGTTATTGTCAGATATTGCTAATTTTTGCCCATTGTCAATAGGAGAAGAGAAATAGTGCTCTGAGTTCATAAAGATGGAGAAGTTGTTTTTTTTTTTTTTTGTTTTGTTTTTTTGTTTTTAGAGAATAAAGTCAATTAGGCATGGATTTTTTTTCAATATATTTTTATATTCATTTTCTGTTATTATAATTTTAATTATATATTAGGATTTAATGTGGAAAAAGCTAGGCTTTGAAGTGTAACTTTCTGTTAAACATGCTAGTTGTGTCTGCTGCTTCAGCCTGTCCTGCATACTTATTTGGATGTTGGCATATATCGTCTTCTGTGGGATAGGTTTGTCCTCCTGGCAGCTTTTGGGACGCAGAGGATGTTGAGCTGAGTGGCAGCTTAGCAGTGTTCTCCTGAGAAATGAAGGAATACAACCTCATTTATTTACTCTAACCTGTTGATAGCTTTTGGAAATAGGTATTGTAGAATAAGCCAACGTAATGGCTTATTATGTATAATGTATTATGTACAATGCCTTATAAATTTAATCTGGCCAATAAACCTATGCTGAAGGTCCGTTGTGATGAGGCGTGGGTGGTTTTTATAATTTTTATTTTTAAAACTTGTTGTGGTAATCTGACAGCTGTACTCATTTTCGGGGGGGATTTTAGACAGACGCAGCTGTTCCTAGATGTGCAACAACATTTCCCTACTCTTAACAAACAACCAAAAATTTTAGAGGAATGAGGCTGTGCTCTGACCTTCCATGTAGCACCTTTGTCTAACACAGCTGATTGATTGTATGTGAACACATTGACTGATGTTAGAAGATTTATTACTTAAAGTCTGTATTGTATATGGGAGAAATGTACATCTATGCTGTGGTCAAAATACAGATTCAGAAGAGGAGGTGCAGTCTGTGAAAAAAAGCAAGAAGGCATCAGAGAAGAAAGCAGCTACTCCAAAACTTGGTCAAGTTCTAAAGCAGCACCCTGTTGTCTATGTTTCAGAGACAGGTAATGGAAACGTGATGCTTTGTGTGCAGTTGTAGTGGGGTGAGTTGCATCATAGGGTTGTTTGACTGATGTACTCTTAAATACTTGTAATAAGACCTCATACAGAGAACAAAAGATTATGTTTTCCTTAAGCTAACAATAAGCACTTCTGAATTTTAGTCTCTGCTATTGTGGAAAGCAGTGTAATTCTGAGTAGTGATTAGAATTAGGCATGTGACTTTGCAAGCTGGAATGTTTCTATTTGCTTCGTAGCTGTAGAGGAGGCAAGTATGTATGTATGAGATGTCTTTTTCATACAGTTAAGCACGTTTTTTGAAATGGCTGTTGGTTACAGTAAGTAGGCTTGAAAATCTGGATTTTAATTTAACTTTGTGTATGATTTTCCATGTCTTTAAACTTTGAAGAATATATTGGTGACTGCAAAAATACCCTTTTTTTTTTTTTCTTAAACATTATTTGTCTGTTGGTCTCTTAGGAAGAACAAGACTTGGAAAAACCAATGGTAAAAAAAAAACAAAACAAAACAAAAACGTGCATATGCTGTGTATATACCATGCTTGTCTCTCTTGGATTTCAGCTTTCTAAATTATGGAGCTGTTCTTGCTTTTTGTGGGAATGAGTTGATATAACTAACCATGAATTATCATTAACCATTCTTGATCACTTGCAGGTCTTCTGTAGCCTTTTGAAAAAAATGTTCAGTGATTGACCACTATATCCTGAGCAGAATTTTTGTTTAGGTTTAGTCATCTCTTTGGAAACTGTGGAATTGAACCAAAATTAAAACATGAACTCAAGCTATGAGTAATACCCTTCAATGGGAAAGTAAGGACAGACTTTCTTCGTAAGATGATTATTAATTTGTTGTGGTGGTTGTATGGTCACTGTTCCTCAGTATTGCTTCTCAGTGTTGCTTTTTGTGTGATTGTTCTTTCAGGTTTTCTTTTTTCTATCATGAGGCTGTTTTGTTTACAGCTCATTACTTCTTAACATCATGCAGTTTCCTTTATTAAATTGGAGATGTTATGGAGAGGTTGCTGGTATTGGTTGACAGGTAGACAGCAGCTTATGATGACTTGTCTTATTTGTGAGTTGAGCATATTCAGGTTTTGTGAACTCTGAAATTTGTCTGTGGAAGTGAATTAACAGCTGTTCTGGTGTTTAATACTTCAGTACATCTTGGGGATAGACTTCATTTGGCATCTGAAAACATTTGGCTGAATGTACGTGAATGCATGTGTTGTCATGTGAAGAGTTTTATTTTTGAGAGTATTTGATATATTTGCAAGGATTTTTGCAACTTCTGGTTATGTTTTTATTAGTAATTGTTCTCCCAATGCATTTTCTGTAAGAGATCTTTTGGTAGCACTTAAGGGTATGACTGTATATGCAGGCAAAAAGAATCCAGTTATTAAAATAGTGACACTTATTAAGGTTCTGATTCCGTTCCTCTTTGTAAGGTGAAGACTAAAAGTGTTCTGCTTAGGAATGGTGCACTGCTCAGAGCTGAGAGCTACTCACTTTAAATCTTATCTTGTTACATTTGTTCTTTTCAGATTTGCTTTTAACACCAGTATATCTTTCTGCACTGGAGCTACTGTAACTTGACATTGATTTGTTGTAATGCAAATAAACTTTAGTATTTTGATACCAAGTACTGGTTACCATACTCAGATCACCTGTGTAAAAGCAACTGTAGCATTTCCCCAGAGTTACAACACTGTAGGGGCAGATTTTGGTCACGGAGGTGTTTCTTAGTGTGCAGGAGATCTGCCTATGTCTTGTTCCATGCTTCATCCAGTCTGAGTTTAGCTGAGGCTTTAACGTTAACTTAATGTTTTAACTTTAACTGAGGTCTTGTGCGTTTGTTTTGTGCTCTAGAGATCTTTACTAGCTGCAGTTCTTTCCCACTATAGATTCCTAGAAACTGATTAAAGCCTGTGCAGTGTTGAAACCAAACCTTCTTGGATAACACATGTTTTATAAGTGTTAGATTTCCAGTCCTTCTGTTAACCCTCTGAGTTTTGTTTGCTCTGGCATCCAATTAGAGGTGTGACTCAGCTGGCTTTTTCCTTTGCTCTGCCTCTTTCCTCCTCCAGGCTGTCTTCATAATCTCTAAGATGGATTGTGCTTATTTTACTTGTCCTAGATATTTGACCTGGCATTTATCTGTACTGTATCGCGTGTTGAGATGAACTCAATTTGCTAAGCTATCCCAAACACTTTTTCCATCTTGCTTGTTCCTATCTTTTATTCAAAACTTAATTTCCTTTGACAGTTTTCCTAATAAATTATAAAGGATAGCTCTGATCTCAAAATAGATAAATGATTGGATTCCTGGAGAACAAAAAGCATTAATTAGGTTCATGATGCAATTCTAGGTGGTGTAATCAAGCTTTTCTTCATGGGGATATAATGGGAGTGCTGGTCAAGGTTATTAGTGAAATCCCTGAGAACCATGGATCAAGGTTGCTCTTATCTAAAGACTGTTAAGTACATACAGGGTTGACTTAGTCTGCGTCTGAAACAACATCTTTATAATCTTGAGACTTAACTCTTGAATTTTGTTTTTACTGAATCTGTATGAACTGTTTCTTCAGCTTATTGGAATTCGGGAGAGATTTCTGTCAAGTGTGTGACCCATCTATTTGCTTGGGATAAATATCTTCTAAAAGGATAAAGGGATCCCCCGTGCCACTGTGGGGGGGCGGAGGAAATCCAGTTTTCTTAAATACTGTTGCAGGAATTAGTTTCTGGTTTGGGTAAGAGTGGAAGTATTAGCTTGTGAAGTTTATTCACATTCTAGAAAGGTAAAAGTAAAGCAGGAGTAATTGCTCTCTGGTTCTGTAAGAAATACTTTGTTAGTGAAACAAACTTAATGCTTATTTGAATTAATGATAGCCAGGGTGAAGTGAAGCTATTCTGGGAGGTAGCAAAGAGTCTTGGGGTGGGGAAGCCTGCCTTGTGGTAGAACAGGTGAGGGGATTGGGAAAAATCCAAATGTTTGTTGTACTTGTTAAATAGTCAAACAGTGTTATTTTAAAGAAGTGTGGAACCTTGGATTTTGTTTGTGGAAGATGACCTGTTATGATGCAATGTAGCTTACCTGGTTTCATCATAAGTGGCTGTTTGGCAGGAACTGTGACTTAATTTGCTTTTAGTGAACAATAATCTATCTTATATATTGTGCAGCGGTATTTATGCATGTGTAGCAATTGCTTTGACAATCTGAATTATTGTAAAATACAATTTATTTATTTGTTAAAGGCCTTATTCTAGGTGCTAGTCTGGATTACTCGTGAAGTTAGGAAAATGGAAGTTGGTAGAAGGTGAGTAGGATGGAAGTTACTGGAAAGCTATTCCTCAAGGATTAGAATATAGGGCAAAAAAAGCACAGCTTGGCAGTGTGAATACCAACTCTTTTCATACAGAGGATATCAAAAGAGAAGACATGGAAAAAATGGGTAAATGCTGGTGCTAGTGACCAAAAATCTCCCAAATCCAACCACTAGTTCAAAGTAGCAGCAGATAGTCAGTGAATAAACATGTTTCATATTGAAACATCTCATAGGGAAGTAAAAAAAAAAATCTCACTTTTACTTTCTGGGCAATATTAGCATTGTATGTACTTACAGGAGTGAAAATGAGTGAAAGTAGTAGAACAGGTCTTCATGAAGCAGCTTCTCTTCATCAGATTTTATGAAGGGTCAGTCAAACCTCAAGGAAGTTTGACTTAAAATACACCTGAGGAAGGATAGCATGGATAGCATGGGAGAAATTCGATGGAGAAACAGGGGCTGGTGTTGCAGAGGACAGCGTACAAAGTGTGTAGGAGCAAGCCGTTTGGAAATTAATTTATTTAGGCGCCTGGGTGCTCAGTGTACTTCTTAAAACTTGATTGTGTGTCTTGTTTTTCCTTGCGTGGATCTGCAAATACTGGTAGAACAACAAAAGGGTCCTGTAATAATTCAGAAATAGCAAGAAGAGCATTTTTGTAAGTGTACATGAATCTGACTTCAGGGCAGTGCATTGTGTACAAGGGCACTCGTTATAAGCCAGAACCTGGGGTTGTAAAAGAGGCAGTATGCAGCTATGGTTGGAGTAAACTTTGCACTCAACTGTATATAATTTTTCAGAAGATAAAAAGCAGAACTTCTGAAGTTCTTCCTGTTCTGTTTGCTTTAGTCCCTCCCCATTTAATTTTTTTTCCAATACTTATACATTATTGTAAGCATATTTTAACTATTCAGTAGATGTAATTTGAGTGATAAAATTGGCCAGGTGAAGTTTACTAGTTCACACTCTGCTTCATGGGCTTTCTGTGACTGTAATGCTTCTTAAGATTCTTGAGGGCTTGGGAAAAGCATAGCACTTATTGAAAATGTTATCCTAGGATTTTTTGATACAGCCATTTAATGGGGGCTTTTTCGGTTCCTTTATAGAGGATGTGCATTTGTTCTGTCTTTTGTATTAGTTATTGCTGTGTTGAGTGTTAATAAAGTTTGCTGGAGTCAGTTATGCTCCTAGGCATCAAAGTTGCAATTTTTCTGTGGGTTTTTGAGGCTTAGTGTTCTAAAAAATACAACAGAATAGCAAAACTGCTTTTAGTATTCAAAGTATCTCCTAAGGGGTGTGCAGTCTTTTCTTTACCCAGTCAACTTGGAATAAAGCTATATTCAACAAATCACTGTGTTAAGAAAACAGCAGAGCATGATTTATTTAGCCTATAATAATGAAAGGGAACTTCCCTGACCTCAAAGACATGGATCCTTTAAAAAAAAAAAAAAAAAAAAAAAAAAGCCTGCCCATCTCTTAAGATGTCATTATTGTTAAAGGAGCCATGAGTTGCAGTTTGGAGTAGTACTTCCCCATTCCTTCCCCATCCCCAGTGACCTTTTACCTCTCCTGAGGTGTGGTTTCACACAAAATATGTTTTTTAAAATAAAATTTTATTAACCCTGTTAGGTTTTTGAAGAAGCTTTGTAGTGTGAAAACTTAGT